TCACTGTCGAAAGCGGAAGTGAACTATTCCACGTCTGAGAAGGAGTGTCTTGTGATAGTACGGGCCACCTCGAAATTCCGCCCATACTTATATGGCAGACCCTTCAAGGTCGTAACGGACCATCATGCGTTGCGCTGGTTGGCCAGTTTGAAAGACCCTTCTGGCCACCTCGCTCGATGGAGCCTACGGCTTCAGGAGTTTGACGTGAAGGTAGTCTACACATCTGGTCGTAAGCACTCCGACGCAGACTGCCTCTCAAGAGCCCTTGTCGGCACACCACCAAGCCATGAAGACGACGATGCCTTTCTTGGGCCTATCAGCAGCAGCACCTTTGCATTAAAGCAGCGCTCAGACCCGATCCTACCACAGTTGATCAACTACATCGAAGGAAAGGCCTCCATACCACCTGCACTGTTCAAGCGTGGGATATCCTCCTTCTGTGTGCAAAACGGGGTGGTAGTTAAAAAGAACTTCGCACCGAATAAGGCAGCTTACCTTCTTGTCGTCCAAAGCAGCCTCAGAGAAGAAATTTTACAAGCGTTACATGACGAACCCACTGCAGGCCACCTGGGTTTTACACGCACACTCCACAGAATTCAAGAACGATACTACTGGCCCCGCCTCTCCTCAGATGTTGCGCGGTACGTCAAGAGTTGCCACGAATTTCAGCGCCGGAAGAGACCTCTAACAAAACCAGCTGGATTTCTCAAGCCAATTGAACCCCCGTCGAGACCATTCCAACAGATTGGTATGGACCTGCTTGGACCTTTCCCCACGTCAACATCCGGTAAAAAGTGGATCATAGTGGCCACTGATTACCTTACCCGATACGTTGAAGCGAAGGCCCTCCCGAACGGCACAGCCGTAGAAGTTGCCAAATTTTTTGTCGAATCAATTCTTCTCCGTCATGGCGCACCTGAGGTACTAATAACAGACAGGGGAACAGCGTTTACGGCTGATCTTACTCAGGCAATCTTACATTACAGTCATACAGATCACCGAAGAACAACTGCGTACCATCCGCAGACAAATGGTCTCACGGAACGCTTGAACAAGACCATTGCCGATATGCTCGCTATGTACGTGAACACAGAACACAAGACCTGGGACTTAATTCTGCCTTACGGGGTCTTCGCCTACAACACCGCGGTGCAGGAGACCACTAAAATGACGCCATTTAATCTCGTCCATGGGAGGGATGCCGTTACTACCCTGGACGCCATGCTGCCTAATGTCACCGATGAAAACAACCTAGACGTGGCCGCCTACCTTCAGCGCGCAGAAGAAGCCCGGCAGCTTGCTCGTCTGCGCATAAAAGACCAACCGCGAAACGACGAAAGACGCTACAACCTGCGGAGACGCGATTTAACATACAGGCCAGTTGACAAAGTCTGGGTTTGGGCGCCCGTTCGCCGCCGAGGATTAGGCGAAAAACTCATGCGCCGTTATTTCACCCCATACAGAGTCATCCGTCAAGTGGGTGAAGTGGACTATGAAGTGGTCCCTGATGGGGCTAGCTCATCCCAACGACGCCGCGCACGACAAGAAGTGGTACACGTCGCCCGTTTGAAGCCCTATCATGCGCGCTTGAAGCCCTATCATGCGCGCTAAAGGAGGCTCCCTGTTTGCATCTGTTGTTTCGTTTATGTGTGCGTGATTCGTGATTATTTGCCATTTACTTTCGCACAGGCTGTCCTTTTCTTTTGGTTTTATTTTAAACAAAGCATCGGGTCGATGCTTACGTTGAGGAGGGGAGCAATGCCGTGAGGCGTATTGCGGATAGTGTTGCGCATGCCGATACCGCCGGTACGCGGCCTTATCGTGGTCCAGGATGCACCGCGACTCATCTGCGAAGATCATGGCCCGCACGTCGACCATTCGTTGATAACAAGATAGCGCCAGACGCTACGGCGACTGTATCTCGGATGGTGAACGCGCCTTGCGTTCCAGTGGGACATTTCTGCTACCCGACGGCCGTCGAACGCGCCTTGCGTTCCAGTGGGACATTAGAGAGTTCTAGTACTGCGTACGCGGCGTACGTGGCGGCGTTGCGTACGTAAGGATGCCACGTTCTGCGTAGTGCACATGCACAGACCGCAACTCGCACGTATCGCGTTACGTACGCAGACGCTACGTACGCACGCATGAGATGCGTGCGTGCGTACGTCTGAGCTGATCGCGCTGCTCTCGAACAAGTTCGCGAAAGCGCGAGACTTCGTTTTGCGAAATGGCGGCATCGAAGGGAAGCACCGACCGGCTCTGTGGCTTAAAATATGGCCATAATCTGGCTATAACACTTGGATTGGCTCACATTGGCTGTCAACAACACGTACTTCTATTCTGATCTACCAGATGGCGCAACACGCTTCACGCTCGTTACGTACGCGGGTACTACGGCGTACCAAAAGCCGATTAGTGGCAAACGACGCCACGTAACGCAAGGCGCTTGCGTGATGCGTACGTAGCACCATTCCGAAGTACTAAAACTCTCTATTTTCTGTTACCCGACGGTCGTCGAACGCGCTGTTCGCCTCCCGCTAAGCCGGTGTGTCTGTTTTCCTTAGTGGGCACAAGTCCGCCGAATAAACGGATCTCCTATTTCTACTAACCTCCCGGTCTCCTGTCTTCGGGCTACTCTCACTCTTACGTGACAATATTGAAACAGGTCACGCGATATGATAATACTGCCTCTACTTTGTCAAAGCCACCATGTTGGTGAACTAGTACCTTATGGAGCTGCGACCATAATGTCAGGTGCAGGCTATCTACACGACTAATTGCGTGGCTTGAAAACGCACTTCAAGCTCTCGTCCTGCGACGCTCCTTTCGTATAAGGTGAGGGTCGTGCGTTTACACAAATTTTACTATTGAAAGTCGATTAAGCTGCGTCGCAGCTGAAATCATGAAAGCCCAACGAAGTGCAAGCGAATATCGAGCGTGCTACCTTTTGGTGATTGGCTGATTATAGTTATTCAAAACGAATTATCAAACACCGGTACGCGATTCGATATTTGGACTAACTTTGATCAAAGGTAATCTCTCATCACAGCATAGTTGCTCCATGAAAGATTTCTAGTAGCTTATAGTTCTATACTAATTAAAACTAGCCAACCATAGCCGTTATGTATTACACATTCACGAAATTGTAGCCTACAAACGTCAGTTCTGACAGTACACACGCTCGTAATTAGGTAGCTGAGCTTCGTCACAACTTTCTCTTATCGGACATCACAATGCCAAGTTACATAAAGTTGACAAACCAGGTCAACGAACTCATTACCATAAAGAAAAACAGAGAAAAGGTTCATTAACCCTGTGCATAAATATTGCTTTACTCTTCCTACGCCCCCACCCTCGACAAACAAAGAAAAGAAAAAAAAACGAACCAGCTACTTCGCCATAAGGCAGGCTTCGTTTTATTTTTCTTTGGCTTCGCTCTCTTGAATGCAACACTACACGTGTTACTCTCCAAAGTTCTCACAAAACTTTTTCCCCCAATTCATTCTGTCGAAAAGAAGTTATTGGCAGCGAGAGAGCCGAGTCCTGCGGTTCACGAAGTATAGAAGAAGAAGGAGGAAAATCATAAAAGCCCGGCATTGTTTGTAGCGAGCGCTGCGCGCACTTTATCAACATAATAGCTCTCTGCCTGAGGAGCGCAGATAAAACGTGGAGAATGGCGAGTGGGACAGGTCGGTGATGAAGAGGTGGGAACTGAGGTCAAAAACTCCGCGGTGGGTACACAGCGCCAAGCCGCTGTGGGTGGTGCAAAAACGTACAAAGCGTTGGTCAATTCAGAAGTTGTCTGCTCGCGTCGAGCGCTATAGAAATCGATAAGCGCTGGTGGTTCGATACATTTTTCTTTCTCCTTTGTTATTGTGAGGTGTGTAACTTCGCTTTTGACTGTCCACCCGATGCGAGAACACCATTAAAATTTATGTCCTTGAGACAGCTATCGCGACAGGTTTTAGGTGGAGGCTACTTGATGGGCACCATGCATTTTGCTGAAAGCCAGCACGCAATATAGAAGGTTTGTTTGACGATTCCCTTCAAGAAAGAAATGAAAAAGGGCATACAGATAGATAGATAGATAGATAGATAGATAGATAGATAGATAGATAGATAGATAGAAAAAATGAAAGAAAGAAAGAAAGAAAGAAAGAGAAAAAGAAAAAAAGGAAGGAAGAAAGAAAGAAAGAGACTGCTCTACATCTGCGCACTTTTATTAAAGCACATGTTTGCGAGCCGTTCCTTTATGAAGAGAAATGAAACAAAGTGCCGATCTTGTGGTGTGTAAGCGACGAATCTTGATTCATCCCCATTTAGAATACGGCTTGAATTTCGCAAACGGGAACAGCCTGTTTTTAATCATTTTTCAAGAAGCAAATGCCCCTGCAACGTACAGCCATCAGCATGGTGCCATCGATAGCAATTTCTGAAGAAAACACCTTCTTCACAAATGCTTATTTTGTCTTCTGAAAGCTTCGAAAAGAATAAAGAAAATAAAACACTGCAAGTGTTCACAAAAAAAAAAAAATGCGCGGCACGTAATAATATGCATTCTGGATTGCGTATATATTCTGAAAATTTGTTAACTGCGTTTTTTTTCCTCGCTAGTTTTTAGTAGTATCTGCAACTGATAACCTGTAGATGTTGATATTCATAAGAGAATATGCATGTATGCAGTGCTAAAAGTACATTTGAAACCTTGTCTTCCAAGTGATATCGAGATACCGTCTTGAGCGACTACTCGTATTGCTTTTTGTTGAACTAAGAACTGATCTTCGTTAGCTTTGATTTTTTGAAGCAGCTGCTACAGTAGGGGCAGTAAAATAACTTGACACGAAAATGCAGCTTTCTTTCACAATGAGAACCAATATACAAACCTTTGTTGGTGGGCCACATTCTATTGTCATTGTAGTTTAAAATGTTTTTTTTTTCGTAGAGAAATGACATTGAGGAAAAAACAGGCACTGAAAATTAAATGCATGGCTGTTACTTACATGAGGCGAGGCCTACGTGCAGAATGTTGACCACTTGGAGCGCGACCATGATGGCGTGTACCTTTGGAAGCAAATACAAAATCAGAACTTATTAGGACAGGCGAGATCTACACGCTGTGTAGGGGCGTGTACGCCTAATTATCTCAAGTGTGACGCAACAAATACTCAAGCTCCAAATAGACGCGCACGAACTAGCTAGCAGTGCTTGCATTAATTAACCTTCCTGCCCTGTATGCACGGAGATGTTTGGCCAGATGCGGCTTTGGCGCAACCCGTAAAAAAACTTCTCGGGACACGAAGTGTGTGGCTGGGCTGTTTGCCTTGACCCTATGTCTACAGTTTACTCGAGAGGCCTAAGGGGTGGCCAGAAAGGTCGTGTCCCTGACCACGAAAGTCCCTAATGACCTGACCTTCCTTGAGTAATATGCGTACGCCCTCTGTGTGCGTATCCATAAATATACCTGTGAATACGTGCTCGGTAACGACCACACCCATAGCTATTTCAGCTCATTGAAGCCATGCTAGTAAAGGAATGTACGAAGCAAACACGTTTCGTGCTCAATAAGTGAAAGGTAAGACGCGAATTTATCAAGTCGTTACTCTTTAGCTGTCGCAATGAAGTCTGTACGTAGTTGTAGATACCATGTGTCTTCAGTGACTAAGTTTGACGCTTCAGACAGATCGCTGTATACTTAGCACCTTTGTACAATAGAAATATGATAGAAGAGAGTGCAATAGATTGTGAATCGCAATGTGCATTGAAGCAACAGCGCCCACAGAGGCAGAGAAATGCTTCACTTTCTAGTGTAATGATGGACTCTTACAAAATGGGAAGTGTAGTGCACGACAGTCCTCGACAACCTGCGCATGTGCACTGACAAATCCACCGCATTTTTCCTCTCACAGTATTTGTGTGATGTGTTAAGAGCCACATTTTTTCTTTGTTTTTTGCTTCATCGACACTGGAAGTAACTTCATACTTAACAATATCTTTAAAAACATTTGTCGATCAGTGTCATATAGTGCAAGTGTAATGCGATTTCGTGAGACGAATAACTGCATTATTAGACTATCAAGCGCAGTACAAAATTTTGCACTTCATGGTGCACATCTTAACCGTTAAACGTCACTGAGGCGGCGTAATGTGGTGTGTCACGCGTTAATAACGTAAAACCTACAGGTTGTACACCTTTCCATTGAACATCGACGTAGGTTATATGCTGCCGCCTTGAGACTTTTCAAATTTGACTAGCCTTACCAGTTTGCCTTAATAACAAGAATATTGGGTCACTAAATACCTAACAGACTAAAAAGTTTTAAACTGACAATGACCGCCCGTAATTTGCAGAGCCACAGGATGTATCACCAGCTGTTCGCTATTCTCACTGGCTAGCAAAACCTCCATCATCTCTTCACAATACAGAAACATATTTCGGGCATGCGAAAGCTAGCACTCTATGGCGCCGACGTATATTCGTTCGTTAAAAACTTTGTGACAGATATGCACGTGCTACAACAAAAGAAAACGTACAAATGTCTCATTTTTAAATTTATTTGGCAACATCCTGTGACACACCCCTCCTAACCTGAAAAAAAAGGAAAAACGTAGCGAGGTTAAAATCGTACATTTTAGCTAACCCCATGTTGGATTACCGGTAGCTCGTCAGGAAATATTTGCATAGAAACAGGTTACAAAGGTCCCACTGCGGTGGTCTAGTGGCTAAGGTACTCAGCTACAAACCCGCAGGTCGCGGTATTGAATCTCGACTGCGGCGGCTGCATTGTCGATGGAGGCAAAAATTAGGTAGGCCTGTGTTCTCACATTTGGATGCACGTTAAAGAACCCAAGTGGTCGAAATTTCCGGAGCCCTCGACTGCGGCGTCTCTCATAATCATATAGTAGTTTTTCGACGTTAAACCCTACATATCAGTCGATCAATCAATCAATGAATAAGTTCTACAAATTATAAAAAGCACTTACCAGGTACCGGTAGCCCGGGGACGTCTTGTCCGTCACGGCGTAGTCGAACGTTGCCAGCATGCCAACCCACAGAAACTGTCAATCAATAATAAAGAACGAACGAATAATTCAGACCTGCTGAACCTATTGGCAGATGAACAATAAAATGTGGAGAACAACTTCAAACTAAAGTGACCGACATTATCTTAAGTATACGACTGTTAGATCGCAAGTGTTGCGTAGCGCCGTCGCCCAGGTCACGGGCCGCTGTCGCCACTGTCGGGTATCACGCGTTTCTCAGCTCGCAGCTGCTTGTGCGCAGAGATGATAGACGGAGCGGACAAGGCGACGGTGAGTTAAGACAACATTTACGTACAGTATGAATAAAGTATTACATATTCGGCACAGGGGCTGACAGCTTAGGGAACTCTAAGAGCCGGGATGTCTTCGGATGCTCTGACGCTGTCATCTGCTCAGACGTACAAGTCTCCTTCTTGTGGTTGCGCTGCTTGGTTCTTTTAGATACTCTGAGTTACCCTTACGTCAGAAGCCACCAATAAGGAACGCCGCTGCCCTTGCGTCAGCAGTATCCAATCAGGAACCACCACTGGATTGCACCCATGGGCGAGTGGTATTGCCCCGCGTTGCGTAAGACATGCCGGGCTAGATGACGTCGACTGCATCATCGGGCTGCAATCGGACCCGCGGATAAGGTGAGGCTGCCACGTGTTGCGCAAGACACCGTTGCCGAGGATTTCGTCAGCCTGGCTCGCTGTCACTGGTCCCGTTCATTAGGGAGGCGATCGCCGGGCTAATTCCAAGGACCGATGTATCGGCCCCCCGAACCGCACCACGAAAGCGTGGACAATTTAGAAGTGGTCCTATTTGTCGCGCCAGCGGACGCCGGCTGTGGCCCAAAGAACAAGTTAGAGCCGAGAGTTGATAAACAAAGCAAAATTATATTCTCAATAATGGCTGATCAAGACAATACACAAGTATGCACACTCCACAATAGTTGAATACAATATGTCACCAATCAAACAACTTACTACACAGTACAATCAGCCACACTCGAAACAACGGACACAGACAACAATACGCACTACAATGCAGTCGCATGCATTGAACAACCAAGACACTTAAAGACTAAAGAAATAGAAAACCTATTCAGTCCAAAGTTCTTGGAACAAAAGTCTGGATGATACTCTTCCGAGAATCACTCACTCAAAGTCCAGCGTTGTTGTCGTTCCGCTGCCCCCGAAGGTTCTCTTATAGGAAACCTCGACTGCCCCCGAAGTTTCTCTTCTAGGAAACCTTGGCCACTCTCCAAGCTTCAACCTTCTTGGCCACTCTCCAAGCTTCAACCTTCTTCGCCGGAAACACGTCGGCTTCACACACGCAGCTGTTGCCACGCGTCTTCGCTCGATAGCGGTAGACACACGCTCTTGCCTGTAGCTCGAGCCTTCACCCATCAGGTGGAAATCCTCTTCTTCTCCTGCTTTGTCACTACGGACAAAACCTTCGCTGACTACATGGCGGATAAACCTACGCGCTCTGGCGCTAACTTCCGTCTTCTCCTGATCTCTCATCTCGGCTGCTCGATTAAATACCTTCCGCGCGAGATTCCAGAAATTTCTCATCATTTCGTCGGCGTGGTATGCAGCGAAGGCTGGGGAGAGGGCGAGACGGTTCGAAGGCCGTCCACGGCGGATGACGCAACCCGGCATCACCACGCCCCTTTCCATCTAGAATTTTCCAGAGCTTGCTCGGCCGCCGATGTGGGGTGAGGAGGTTCGTCGGCGAACCTACGCTTCCGAGAGGAGAAAAGCGCGTGCCCAGGGAGTCTTTGGATGCTTGTTTTCTTTTTTTCATCGTTGACCTCTCGGCGCTTCGTCGCGAGAATTTGGCGGCGCTCATTTTGTGACACTCGCTCACTGGTTTTGACGCTGGTTGCGTTTGCAGAAGCAATAAAGTTTGATTTAGACTTCATGGCATAACACGAGAGAAAAACGTAAACGCATTCTGTCTACTGCGCGATGTCTTATCACACTTGCCCGCAACATTTGTGCCCCCACACACGCACGCGTGCACTGATTGCTATAACCCTTTTCCTCCTTCACGCACGCTTCGACAGAGCTTGTGCGCATAGGGAAGACAGGTTCGAGTTGTGCAACGCGATTCGCAGCCCTAGAGGGGAGAGGGCAAAGCTCCAGTCGCTCGGACGGGTCGCGTTTGCTTGGTTTTCCCGTTTTGCGCACGGAAAACGTGTTCCTTGGGGGCTTTTACCTCGCATTTCGCACGCTATGGTTGCCACTCCGTCATTTTGAAAAGCAGGCACGTGGTCCTACTGCATTGTGGGCTGCTACAAAAGTTTAAAAATGACTACGAGCTGGCTTTTTTTCGCCTCTTGCTCGGCACTTAAGCCAGCAAGATGGGTCGCCGACTGGCGAGATGTTACCGCTACTGCTGCTACGAGCTGAAAACTGCCCGTGAAGTTCTACCGTTTACAATACAAGCAGTGCGAGGAGAAAAGGTGTCAGGAGTGTATTATGGTCGTTCGTCGACGTTTACGTGGTCTTGTCCCTTTAAAGAATCTTTCGTCATGCGCACTATTACCAACTATTAACGGGGAGAAACGTGATGGCCGGACTTACATGAAAAGGAGGTGCGTTTGTCAAATGAAGCGACAGCTAATAGAAAAATGCTGTACATTTCGAGATCGGGCACCGGCTTTCCGTAACAATGATTTGTAATGCGAAAGTGGCTGAGCTTGCTGGCTTAATACACTACTGCTAAAATACCGTACCGTGAGCTTTGCAAGTGTTTTGTCCAGCTGATGGCCGTAGACTTCTCGTCGCCGCTAAGTGTCAACAGATTCATGCCGCGTGTTCGCGCTGAGCTTTTAGTATGTACAAGTCTTTCGTGCAACACCCACCGATAAGTCAGCAAGCTGACGTATCGCCATGTTAAGACCAAAGTCGTGAGCTCGATTCCCGCATACGCCAGCTTCATTTCCCTGGAAGCACAACGTAGTAACATTGTGGTTAGATTTAGGTGCAGGAATGGCAGACAGGGCGTGCTAGTTTTGCATACTTGAAGCGTACGCTGGAATGACGCTCAATGTAAACAGATGTGGCGTTCGGTGTGTGTGCAGCTTCTCTCCGTTGCCGTCATGGCGCCTTACACTTAAAATGGCTTTAGCTGCTTCTTAAAAAAAGCCCAGGTTGCCGGAATCAATCTGAAGTCTTACACCACGTGATGCCCCCTAACAATATCATGGTTTGTGCACGTAAAATACTATATCCTCTCATGCGCCCGAGCTGCGGGCGACATACATACAGCTTCTGCTATGAAAACGAGTTGAGAAAAATAACCAAGGCAGCAATAAAATTTTCGATGGTTTCATGAAATCAGAAGTGGATATGAGAGGTGAATCCCGGCCTAACTAAAAACATGCTCGACCCTAGTGGGTAAAATATGCTATGACGAAAACCAATCACGCTGTCAAAACAACCAAATCGACATTCGAATCCATGAACACGCTGCGGGATCAGGCGTGGATATTAATCCAAAATAAAACATGCGCAGCACGACACATGCATCGTCGAAGTAATATTTTTTTGTGCGCGTCATTATGCTTTCAAAGGAGCTATGAAAAACCTAAAGTAACATTGAACTCACGACACGACAATGTTAACATCTGATGAAGGCCTCGGAAAAAGGGAAACTCTTATAAAATTGAACACTGCGTATTGCAATGGTGCCAGGGACTCACAAAGCAGACGTAAGTTTAGTCTCTTCACACTGACCTCCTAATACATTTAAATCCGCACGACAAACTTGGCATCCAAACAATCGAAATCCGAGCGCTCTATACAAACGCACGCAAAAGCGTGGTAGTGGTTTGCCGAGAGCTCTGAGAAGAGACGACTGCCGCAGCAAATGCCCATTTTACCGGTAACATACACATAGAATTCGTGCCGTTACCTCACTTTTGGTGTCATAGAGAGGTGGCTGCTCACCATTGACATGAACATAGCACTCGCTCACAGACATTGCGTTGGACAAGTTTGCTCCCACAAGGGTTGCCCATGAATCGCTCTCGATTCGCGTGAGATTCACACCATGAAAACGTTTTTACAATCTTCTTAAACCTTCGGAGCAACTCACAGGAGACGCTGCACGTGGAGGGCAACCAGAAAACAGCGCGGGAAGAGCACGTGAACGTGCTGTGAGTGTGCAAGCAGAAGGCGGGAGCGGGGTACCAAGCGACCGGCTTTTGCTAAAAAAGCGGCGAAACGCGCGCGGCGCAGCGCCCCGCGAGCCCACTAAACAATAATAATACGTACGTACTCCTTAGGCCATGGAGTGTGACCGCCTCGCAAAATATGGCATCACAAGTTGCACTACTAGCATGAGAGCCAGCTTTAAAGGCCGCCTGGCGCTACTCGCTGCTGCTCTTAACAAAGTGATTTACGAAGCACTTCCCGCATCTCATTTTTTTCTTTAATTTAAGCTGATACCATGCATGAGACGCAAATTTATCACCGATTACAATTGTACACGCTGCTTCGTGTATGTGTGAGCAAAAAGAACTAGCATTTTCATAGTCGGCCATTGCTGCCAAATCCCAAATAAAAATATTTCTCCCACAAACAGGCGACGAAGGCACCACTGCGAATAAAGGGCACTGAAGTTCTGGCGGTAATAAGAATGCAAATTACATTGACGAAAACTTTTAATTAACCTCGAAGTTGCTTTTGCGCTGCGTAGAATGTGTAGCCGTGCCCGAAAAGTATCGGGATCAGGAGCGGTTATGTGCTACAGAATTAGGGCAAATTCCACAACTCACAGCTACGGCGTATAGCGTGCAATAACCTTGAGCACAAGTAAAGAGGGACAGAGAGAGAGAGAGAGAGAAAGGACGAAGCTGTGTGACAACGCACACACGGCATACTCCCGTGGTTACAAGTAGGCGAAGCAGAGAGATCGTTCGGTGTTACCGTAAATCACCCGTGACATTGACCACTCACGCATGTAAATGAGTGCCAAGTGGTGTGCAGCTATATAGAACGTCTACAGTACATTGTGTTGAG